CGACACACACACACACACACACACACACACACACACACACACACACACACACACACACAAAAACTCTTGACACACACACAGTCACATATACAGCAGACAAAGAGACGACAAGCAGGCACTCAGTTCTTTCCCTCAGTTTGGTGGGCTTGCTGGTGTTATTCAATCGGAGATCAGAGGCAGTGTGTAACTGGAGGCTGCTGATATCTGCGGGTGTTGTGAGTGGCGGCAGTGCTGTGGAGGAGCAGTGTAGCCCAGTGAGGAGCTGAGGAGTGGGTTGACCCAGGGAGGATTGGAATATGAATGACTGCCAAGATTGGGACGTCTGCTCAGCCTGCTCTAAGGTCAGTCTCACATCACATCACAACAAGAAACCAACTCCATCAACCTGCCGCCTGCTCCCACGCTCTCTAAATGTTCTTTTGGATTAAGAGAGCTGTTGTTGAGTGCTTTGTTTGGCAATTAGCATACTGAACTATCAATTGATGTTTTATTTGGCATGCAAAACTAGAGAGGGATGTTTGGTAGTCCGGTTTTTCTAAGGGTTTGCTGCAAAGAGTAAAAAGACACGTTTGACAATTCTCCTGAGAAATGCATGTAGAGAAAAAGGCGGGATGATGTGGAGCGGTGCAAATACGCATGACAAATTTGAAAATGAATTAAGAGCAAGAACAGGAATGTAAGCATTTTACAATTTAATATAAAAACAATTCTTTTGTTTCAGTTTCAAGCAATTTAATTGTTAATTTTTTTTAGATTGTATCATGCTCACAAAGCAAGTCAAAAGTATAGAGGAGTATTAATTGGAAGGCATTTTTTCATAATTTTTGTATGCATTTAAATTCTACAAGCACAGTAGCTCCCGCTGAACTCTCTGCGTGCATCTCTCCACGGTGTAGGAGTATTCTGTTCAAATATATTTCTCTGCAAACTCCTCCACATGCACAATAGTGTTCTTTGTTTTCTTGTACTTTTTTGGCAAGTTTATATTAGGTCTATTTTGACAACCTTTTTTATAAGAGCCCACGAAATTACAAGGCTGTCAGGGTCATCTGAGGAAAAATATGGAAATCAAGTTTTTTGTATTGTGTGAAATCTGGATTTGTGTGCAATGTTCGTGTGAAGCCAAAATAGAGTAGAGCTTTTAATTTGTATTAAAGTGATAAGTTGGACAAATGTTAGTATTTTGAATAATGTGTCTAACTTAAGCATTTATTTTAAGATATCGGCATGGATTTTATAAGTTCTTAAAAACCTAAGCCATCTATTTGTATTGGCAAAATGTGTTTATTTGTTGTTTATCTTTTTCTATTTAGTCAAATAAATGCTAAACTGTGCAGGTTCTCAAGCTTTTTACTCTCAAAATATGAACTGGTTTATTAGCTTGATTAGATCATCACACATCATTTGACAAAATATTAATTATTTTAGGAAAATATAGATTAAAATAAATACGTATATCCATTACATAAAGAACACCTGATTTCTGCTGCCATCTGAAGGCAGTTTTTTTCTAAAGGAATAGCTGTTTTCATTGATCCTAAAGCTCACTGGGTTTTCTTGGCTCACAGAAGGCCATGTTATCTTTCAGGGGAACTGACAACTAAGTTCCCCGAAATTGGACTTTCGAGGTTAACATCACAACAGTAACGTGTTTTTTGACCCAATAGTTAGTCTGTCATCAATATTTCCCACCTTCTACAACATCACACCCGTCCTGTCAGTGTCTGGGACAATAAAATCTCCCTCCTCTCACCACCCAGTTTTCAGTTTCACACTCAGATGCACAAACAGCTTGCTCCACTCTAACACTTCTTCTGTTTTTGGACCAAGTCACTTGATGAGCAACAGTTTACCCGCCTCATGGAGTATCCCCATCTAACCTCTCCAAGTGTGTGTGTGTGTGTGTGTGTGTGTGTGTGTGTGTGTGTGTGTGTGTGTGTGTGTGTGTGTGTGTGTGTGTGTGTGTGTGTGTGTGGATACAGTTGCCATGGTGACAATGTGGTGGATGGGGAGACGGCAGGGAATTGGCTGTTGAGACAGACTTGCGGGTGAGTGCGGGCCTGAGTGGCAGCACAGTGCTGTGGTGTTGTGGTGGCGGCGGGAGCAGAGATGGTGGTGGCGGTGGCGGAGCGATCAGCTGGGCTGGCCGCGCGGCAACCATCACTTCAAAAGAGCTCATTTAAAACGCTTGGAGAAGAATTAGTAGAGCTCCCCCGCACTTCTCACTGAATGAAACAAGGCTGCAAAATCTCTGACACATTCGAGGACTCAAACACAAACACTCACGTACACAGAGACCTAAACAAACAAACACAATCACACATTTCTCTTTGAAAAAAAAAATAATGATTGCACATGCACACAAACATGGCACACACGCATGTACACACACTAGCAATCACACACATTTCTCCACACCCCTGCTGTGACACACAATTAATATGCAAAGACACATATCCTGTATCCACAACAACTGTTGGTAATATCAACAGTGTTTTTGTCAGGTTTTGGGTGGGTGGTGACCAGCTTTGCCTATCACTGGGGGAGTAAGTACTGCCGCCTGAGGGAGTATTTGTGTGTCTGTAGCTGTCCGTGTGTGTCTGAAAGAGAAGGGGTGGGGGGTGCTAGTAGTAAGCTCATACACTGAAGAATACAGAGAACACCCGGGGGTGTCGTGGGGGTGGTTCATGAAAGTGGTACAAAAAACACATCTACATATTCCAATCATCCCCTGAGAGTCAGAGATGAAAACTCTCCTGCTGTGAGCGCTCTTTGTGTGTGTGTGTGTTTTTTCTACACACATACGTCTGCCTCTGAACTTCATTGGCTGCAAAATATATTTTTAGTCCACATGTGGGAGTAATGTGTTTGAATGAAACGAGTAAGCTGGGTAGTTTCAGTCCCACCGCAGTGCTCATAGGTAATGACTAATTAGCAACAGCTATCAGAAAGCTAGTTTCTAACCTTCTTAAAGAAGTTCATAAAAGAGAGTCAATAGCTGATTTCTGGCCATCTGTCTGATGCTGCTGAATGTTTGTTTGCATGTCTGACTGGACTGACAGCTGGGTCTTAACCACAACTGACGCCAGGACCTGGCAGACTGTTCTGTGTCCTCACTAAATCTGTCTTTTTGTCCCCTTCCTCCCTTTTACCTTCTCTATCTCCATTTCTGTCCACTCTCATCCTCTCTCTAGGTGAGTGGCGCTTCAATCGGAAAGAATCAACAGTGATCTGACAGTGATGCTGTGTAGCAGCGTCCCTCTCTGTCTGCCCCCCTCATTCTCCCGTGAGGCCCATGTGACCTAACCTACACCCACACACAGGGGGCCCCCAGTGCCGCTGGAGCCCACCCATGAATCCCAGCCCCGACCGCGGCAAAGAGTGCCTCCCTCCCAAAAAAAGGGAAACTCGGCAAGGATCGTCCGAACACAACATCCCTCTGGACGAGTTTAAACCCCCTGTGCCGCTCCGGAGTCGGTCCAGCACAGGGGGAGGGGAGGGGGGCAGGGAGGCCAGCGACAGGGAGCGAGCTCTGATCAACCCGAGCCCCCATCTCCTACATACTCCTCCACCCCTTCCTGCTCCAGCACCAGGCCTCCCCCTGCCCCTACCATGGCATCTGGGCTACTCTCCCTCCATCTCCCTCCCCCTTTTCCCAGGGCAGATTGGAGAGAGGAGGGGCTCAGGGTCTCCCGCTTGGAGAGATGATGCTCTCTCCTCAGCCTTGCCCCACCACTCCAGGTGGCTCAGAGGGGAAGGCCCCCTCTCCTTGCCACCTTCCCCATCTTCTTCTGCCGCCTCCTCCTTCAAGACTCCCTACCCAGCCGATTCTAGAGAGATTTGGTCCTACATCAACAGTGGCCGGCGGGACAACAGCTCCCCTCTCTTCTCCCCCTCTTACTTGTTCAGCCAGCACTCTCTCTACACTCAAGATCCAAGTTATACTGAAGCCAGACATAGATACCTGGGCAAGAGGCTCAATGGCCTAGAGGGGCCTGGCAGCAGGACTGCCTCAGCCTCCAGGTCTCTGCTCTCAGGAGAGTATGGGAACGAGAGCAGCAGAGCCAGGCTGGACATGGGTCCACACAGCTCCCATACCAACGGTGGACGGAGACAGCAGGAGGATCTAACATCCCGTGTCCATACTGGAGGGCCTTATTTGTCAGACTCTCTAGCTCAGGAGGGCCCTGAGACACATTCCTCACTGCAGGACAGACATACACATGGGATAGTTAAGACCAGCTTACTCTCCTCCAGTCCCCATCCCCTAGGACCAGTCCCCAGGGCAGGTAGAGGGGGTCTCCTGGACTCCCTAGGGGTCACACCAGCTGAGGCCCAGATCTACTACTCCTTAGGATCGGTGGGCCACCCCAGCCCTCAGGTCCAGCCCTACCCGCTCTACAGCCCCTCAGGAACCGCTCTGTACAACCTGCACAGGGAGCCAGTACCCAGGCAGCACAGTGTAAGGAACTCCCCTCACTCCCCCCTGGGTCTGCATAACAGCCATGACAGGTCACCAAGAGACCGGGACAGAGACCTAGAAAGAGACAGAGAGAAACTCCTACAAAGGGACAGGGAGCGAGGCAAAGAAAAAGAAAAGCACCTTCAACATGACCAAGAAAGAGACACTGAGCGCGAGAGACGAAGGGATAGGGAAAGAGACAGAGGGAGAGAGTTATCTCCTTCTCATGCTCACACCTCGCCCCCGACCCCTCACCCATCTCCCCCTGCGCTCCTACCTCACTTCACCAAGGGTTCTCTGATCGAGTTGGCCAGCGGCCGGTTGAAGCAGGTGGAGGAGCTGCGGACCGAAGACTTCTTGAGGAGCGCAGATACCTCCCCCGAGTTTCACCTCAGCACCTGCACTGTGCTGCTGATTTCCCCCAGCAGCACACAGGGCTTCAGCCACCTGCAGGTCCACCTCACAGACCGCAACACTCAGGTCAGCTTTATCCTAAAATATCTTCATTTGAGTAGCAGATATGTTTTTACCAGCACAATCAGAAAGAATTAAAAAAAAAACTGCATGGAAAGATGATTGTTAATGTAGTGCAGTTGAGGCTGTAGATTACCCATCTTTAATCTAATTCCTAACACACTTTATTGCACACCAAAGTCACATTGAGGTGTTATTAACGTTCTGATTACAGACATTGAATCCCTCTTTGTTGAGTGTATAACATTGTTGTGCTTTTGTGTAGGAGCTACTGAAGGTCTTGGTGGAGTATCCGTTCTTTGTGCAGGACCGAGGCTGGTCTTCTTGCTGCCCGCAGAGAACCTCACAGCTGTACGGCCTGCCCTGTCGCCAGCTCATGGAAGGCGATGTCTGCCTGGCTCTCACCCCCACCCCCACCCCCACCCAAACCCACCGGACACGCACGCGTACTGGCTCCAGGGCCCATCGCACGCAACTCCCCCCAAGGGCTGCAGGAGACCCCAGCAGCTTGCACAGGGAGGAGATGCCACCTCCACCTCCCCCTCCCCCTCTCCCTCACCACCCACCTCCTGCTGCACCGGCCCCTCGGCGGGCGCTGGCTGCAGTCCCCCCTGCTCAGGAGCAGCAACGTCCGCGAAAACGGCGCTGGTCTGCCCCGGATACCTTACCCTCAACCGGCACTGATGAAAGCCTCATGGATTTACCTCATGGCTCCAAGCTAATGAAGTGGCAGTAGAAACTTGGAAATGCATAGGCATATATGCATACTTACAAACACACATAAGCACATACACACCCTCCTAGTCTCTGTTGCACCCACCAAGAAGACAATGGAGAGACCTCAAGGTAGGGTTGCAGGGAAGGAATACAAAAAAAAGAAAACGCAATTTACGGGTGTCCACTCTGCTGCCCAAAATATTAACCCCCACCCTAGTCTGGTCCTTGTTGCACCCTCCTTTCCTATCCTTTCCTTTCTTCCCCTCAACATTACTTAGCACACCCCTAAAAGGAGCAGCAGCAGAAGGATCCCTAGATGGCTCCTTACCGACACTGAAGACATTGAGACAATCAAGCACTTGTCTGTGTTCACTGTTTTTGTAATGGTTGTCGCACACACCTACTTAATGACAGTGTGTTCTGCAGGGTATTGACTTCCAATCAGTGTTATGAAAGTAAACGCTATTGAAGAAGTGCAGATATATATGAACAAAGGTTGACTATATATATTACATTGCAGATGTTAAATACAGTACATATGCTAAACAGATTTAATGCAATCTCTTTGTCGATTTCGCGATGCATTTTTGTTTCTTTAATTGTCTTGCAGCTGAGCCGATGTCTACATGTCGGCCTATGCAGGCAATGTGAATGTATGAGCAACTTATAGCCTTTTTTTATTCTCATCACTGGGTGTCATTTAAAACAAATGATTGTTCTTCAAGGCATTACCCTCCAATATGTTCTTAACATTTTCTCTGAGAGAGGGAGAACACTAATGAAAACTGCGTAACAGACAATCCCGCCCACACAGACAGGTCTGTGCCACATCGCCTCGACACTCATGGTGTTTTTCCATTAAAAACAGAATGATGGAAAGAGTAGGAAGTGCAGTATGGCTGACGAGTAATGGTGCTAGTAACAAGTTGGAACATGATGCTTTGTGAATACTCTTGACCCCTGTGTATTGTACGCTTCTGTTCCCATTTCATTTTTTTATGTACTGTATTTGTTTGAAGGCAGGGAAAATGATGAAAGTATTTTAAACTCAGATACGGGTATCTCCTCTGATTCAGCACACTCTCTCACTTTAGTTTTTGTGTTTTTTTTATTTAAAAAAAAAAAACCTTACCTGTGGATTTTCTTTTTAAATGTTATAGCTACAAAAATGTATATTTTTTAAAATTGTGAATCTGTTATATGATGTTCGCTAGAAATAAAGGAAAAAAAGCTTTATAGATTTAATTAGATGTGTGAATTTATTCTCTGCATGTGTCAAGTACTGAACACTTAAATTATTATTTATTACAGATGCTGAATATGAGGTTAGCAAAAAATACAGGCATATCTTTTTACATAAATACAATCTTATCAGCATGATTTATTGGTGAAACAAGAAATCTGGTTTGACAACAGCTGATTAATGAAATTAATATAAGGCAACTAAAAATACATAAGCATAAAGAAATTCCTTTCATCCATTGCAGGAAAGATCTATAATGCAAAACCACAATTGTTTCTTCATTCAATACTCCATATTGTTTGCTCTGCTCTTAAGATATATTTCATTATGATGACAGGGGAAGGAATGAGGCTTCAGTTACCCACGTGTATATTGTTCATGGCTAACCCGGTGTAGGTAGCTTCACTTGTCCTCCTGTGTTGGAGGTGAGAATCGGCCGCTTATCCTCGGTCTTTACAGTTGAACCTCTGCATGAGTTCCACTGCAAACAAGGGCACCACCTGGCAAACAGGACAGTATCAATCAGTACGCCTTTGAGGACATCTACTGGCTGTTCAAAGAATTACAGCTGCACTTCCATTTAGAGAAGAATTGTAAGATTCTTTGTGTCTTACATTAAATGGTGGATCAAACCCATGACTGCAAATCACAGTGACACACTGTTGACAGTACACTACTTTAAGTATTATTTCACTTCATAGAGTAGTTTAAACAGAATACACAACTTAAAATGCAGGTATGTGACAGAATCAAGAAAGAATGAAACGTACATCCTTTTGTCTACAAAACTGTAATTATAATTTAACAGAGAAACCTGCACAAGACGTCCGCCTGGGGAATGAAAATGTTCAATAGAAATTACAAAGTGAATGTGAGGTGAAAATATGAAAGTAATGTATGTCTAAACTAAATCTAAATGATAACATCAAACATTGAAATATTACATTTAGTCAAATAACAAACCTGCGCCATAATCAGCTTTCTGTTTTTAGGTATGTCGGGGTCTGGGTACTCCTCTCCGAAGCAAAGCTCAATCTCATAAGTAGGTGTAGGTCCCTCCCCCTGTAAACAGCACTGAAGCTCTGTACAAAAACATTGTATATTATTATATATATATATATATATATTATAGATTGCTGTGAGAGAGGATGCTACTGTAGCGTTGCTTGTTTGCCGCTTCTCCACCTTTGTGCTGATGATTGATTTTATGTAAAGCGTCTTTGAGCATTAGGAAAAGCGCTATACAAATTAAATTGAAATAGTGCATTTGCATAGAGCAATAATGTAAGCTGTAAAGAATCCTCAACAATTAGCCTCTTGATTTATGACTAACTAATTAAATCAAACTGCTTTTTAGTGGCTGATACTACATTTATTATTTTATATAATCATGCACCCTCTTACCATTGAGAAATCTGGGTATGTCAAGCAGTTTGAAGGTCTTTTCTCGCTCCAGTTTGTTGGGCCGGTCGGTGTGCTGGGCCATAGGACCGCTCCAGTACACCCTGCCCTGGCAGAACCGCTTGATGAACACCCCGTCTGGGGCCACCCATAATAGCACCCCCCTCTCAAGATGACAAAGAAGGCGGTTCATTGCTTCAGCCATACACGACGGCAGAGATACAGCATCCGGGGACGGGAAGGAGAGCTGCTGGGCGGTGCAGGGCCCGTAGATCTGTTCGTTTCCCAAGGGGACGCGGCCCTGCAGGATGAAGCACCCCTCTGGGCTCCTGGTGCACACCTTCGTCACACTGTGGCCCTGGTACAACAATGTCACCTGCATACGAAAGTCTGCACACACAAAGTGTTTCAGGTCATACAGTGGCATGTTACGTTTTTTGGTTTTTTTAAGTCAGAATACCTTTATTCGTCCCAAAGACGAGACATTTACATTTGTTACAGCAGAAAAGAGCCAAAGACAGCTTAATGTTAACTAAGAAGCATTCATAAAAAAATATATTAAAGGTAAAAAAGTTAAATAAATTACACAATTTACAAAATACACATTATGTAACAGTTCTGAAGATATAGCAGCCAGGTATATATTGCACAGTTATTATCATGCACTATCCCATGAACTCACCTGATACAGTATGTGTAGAGGTAAGAAAGGTTGTAGGAGCAGGGTTCTGATTTAGAGTCTTTTTTCCTGTGAGCTCACAATACATGTGCTCTCTCATCAGATTATCTAAAGCAGAGTAGAGAGATATTCATTACTGTACATTGTAACAGTAAAATACAAGTTCACAAGTAAAATTCCTACCAACGTTATGATGAGGCCTGAACACGGGGCAGTATTTAGGTGCTATTTCTTCAAATTAAGCGGGGTCCATTTATATTTGTTAATTTTATATTAAGTAATTCACCATAGGGACTCGAGATTTTGACAGGGATGATAAACATTTCATCACTTGAATAATTATAGTTTCCCATTTTTAGCTTTGGATCATCCCTAAACATAACAGTATCAGTTTGTGTGTGTGAACCTTACCAGTCAGTGGTTTGAAGTCTTCGTTACTTGTATGAAACAATTCCTTTTGACGATGAATATGCAAAAACAAAAAAATGTTTAATAGAGTATGAAGTTTATGGCTTATTAATGTATAAGGATCAGAATTATTTTCTTTTTTTTAGAGAGATCAGAGCACTTGAAATGGATTTTCCCGAACAACCCAAACGTTTTCTGCTGCCAAAAACGCACTGTTGATCAGCATCTCTTTATGGATGTGGAAAGCTCCAAAAAATGTTGCCACTCATACAAAGTCTAAGCATTAAATTACAACCAATAGCCAAACCTGCTAAACGTACAGTACTGTCGGGTTTGAACATTTCTGGCTCTATGACTCATAGTGGTAGTATCAAAAAAGAAAATATTTACCAGGAGACACTAAGAATAAATACTCCTTCCATAATCTTTTCACTGGAATTGTCTCTTTTTGTGTTTTTATATCTTTGCCAGCAAAATCAGATTTTCATCCCTGATATCCACCTGTTTCAAAAACTCTAAACACTGACAGAAAGAAGGGAAATTAAAAGAAACTCTTAAATTAGCATGCAGTAGCTAAATGTTAAGGTAGTGCATGCTATTGCATTTATGTTTTAACCTACCTGAGACCTCTTTGCCTCGATGTACACTTGATCCTTTGTCAGGGGAAACTCTATGGAGAGCAACAAGTGGGAACAAAAACGAGAGCAAATAAAATAAATGCGATGCTATCAAAATCTTATCAAAAGCTAGCTGAGAGAAGAATGAATATAAACACATTTCCTTCCTTGCTTTGTTTGCATGAATTAACTTGTTCTCTTTTTATTCTGGTGCATTGTTTTCTTACACCACAGCTCACAAGCTCAGATGTAATAACCATTAAACATTTTTAAAAGGAAACGACCATTTGGCGTCACTTTTACCTCGTGGCCTGGCTGACCCTTGATCTTGCTGGATAAAATAGACCTTATAGGGTTCAGTGATGTCCAGCTGGTTGCGTTCATGGACCTCCAGGAAGTCTGTGCTTTTGTTGAGTGCACAGCGGAGACGGGTCTTCCACATGGTGGGGTCAGCTTTATCCCTGCCCTCCCTGTACTTTCCCTTGTACACAGCCCATGCCTGGATGTGAAGATTTAAATGTTATTAATTTAGGTTCAGCATTGAGAAATAATTATTTATGATTGGGTCCTAATCAACTGAGATTTCTTTCATTTGTAGAGTAGTTCATCAGATGATTTTAAATGCTTCGTTTTTTTGTTGAATTACTTTTTTCTGAGAAATGTAAGGGCACATCCCTTTTTAATGCAACATTTATAGTGGTGGTTTTGCATGATCCTTTATTTTACAAATCTGTTCAATAAACCAATGTATTCATTATTCAACAAGATAATGTGTTGAGTATTTGGTGAACTACAATCTGATACAGCACATGAAGGTATCATTCAAGATGTTCTCCAATCAACTAACAGGAATCATATATTTCAGGATTTGTGAAAACGAAAAAAAATCCTAATCTTATATAATGGGATAACAGATATCATTATTTAAATAAATGGGAACCTCTGCTCCCTGGCTACTTGAAACATGATAACAGATCATGATAAACAGTTAAGTAAAGTATAATACATTATAGCCTAACAAGAAGGCCTAATATAATCCCGTTTGTAAAATAAGGAGCTCAACATCTTTTGTTTTTTGTGATTAATGTATAGACTTGTTATAGGGTTTACAAAAAACACTTTTATAAAAATTGGCCAAAAAGGGAAATAATAGCTTCATGAAACTCCCTTTACAACAGTCGCCTGAAGTTCCTACATTAATTCCTTTACATAACGCATTCAAAACGCGATCTGACCATATATTTCAGATTTTATGTTTAATAATGTAAAACAGTAAGGACCTTGAAGAGAGCTGCGTCCTCCGTCTGCTTGTAGTCCTTCTTGGCTGCGTGCTTCCACGGGATCCTGAACATGGTTTTGTCCTCATCCTCCCAGCACAGTCCTTCAAATCCCCCACTGTCTATCTGAGCTACCAGCCACTCTTTCATGTGCATCTTAGCTTCCATCTCCAACACTGACTGCTGTTTTACAAGGAACAAAGCCTCACTTCCAAATGTCAGACATGCATGTGAGCAGTTTAATCCCGTTCGCACCTTGCAAGCGAAAAAACTAATTCCAATAATTAATTATTCTAATGCTACTCAAGCCTATAAAATAAGTTTCACAATAATAAAGTCTGATAATATGATGCAGTGATTACAAAAAAATAAAGTTGTAGACAAACAGACCTCACATGTGAATGCAGATGTCCTTACTAAATGTATAGTGCGCTCTTGGAAGGGAAAGCGAAAGCTTAGAGATCTTTTACTTTCGGTTTCCTCATGCAGCTAGTTTAACATTTAACGCGTCAAGGGAAGTTTTTTAGGGCAGGTCACTCACTGGATCAGTGGAACGGACTGTCTTTAAGTGAAAGTAATTATAATGCACATGCAGCGTTTTGGTTTGTGTTGGATTAGATATTACTTTGCCAGAAGGCAAACCAAAGCATGAATTTATATAATTAAAGCTTTTGTATGATGGATTCAAACATGGCAGCCATATAAATATATATCTTACAATATTTAAAGTAGGATGAAAAGCCAGGTCACCATTCATCATCAACAGAAGTTCTGTTGGAAAATTCTCTTTTTAATTTCCCTCCATAGCAGTCAGCATGTGGGCAATGGTACAGCACCAATAAGCGTTATTATTCACATAACACAGCACACAAACCTAAACTACCATACTGAAACGTTCGTGTGAAAATGAAAGTGTGTGGGAGTTGGGGACTTTTTTGTATGAACTCCGCCTCCTCCATGCAGTCTTTATGGTTCTAACTGGAGATGTAATCGTTTCTTTACACATCAGGTCATTACTCAAAGCAGGCAGGCGGACAATACAAATGCAAAGTTCAGATCGACAAGACAGCGCTTATCTATGAAAAAGGGATCCTAGTGTGACATTACGATGTGTAAACAGACAGTTTAGTTTTGCCCAGCAGAGGGCAGTGTAAACCTGTGTTTTTGGTTACTGTTATGTTTTGTTCTTAATAAACCAGGTAACTGTGTACTAGAGGTAGATTATGTCATGAAATAAATAGCATTAACATCCTGGAAGGAGGAGACAAAACATCAAGCTTGTAAGCAGTATTATTTGCAAGATGCAATCGATATTAACAATAACCAGTGGATAATATGCACATGCATTGGATTGTATACTGCAAATTGTAAAATAAATTCTCTCAATGAATTGCCCAAAAATATGTATGAATGGCTTTATGGTAGAGATGAAATACAGAACATGCAGTACATTAAAATGCATGTGCAAAGATCCAACCACCACAAGACAGAACGCTCACACCTGTCACAGGCATAAACCACAAAGACACACGCTGTACCTCAACAGAAACAGGAACAAACTGAACAGTTCTTGGTTTCTTATCGCACACGGAAAGGCAACACACTCTAACATTCAGTATCTCAGTTCATCAGATAACGTGTGTAGCAAAGGAATGTGTCAAGAACAGCATGTCAAATTAATTCTGCCTTTCATCCAGATTAAACACACCTCAAGGTGTTTTTTGTTGCTTTTCTCCCAGTTTATTTTTGTACCAGTTCAGCAGTAAAACATCGTTGAGACATCGGAGCACACTGTACATCTTAGCCAGCTTTCAATAAATAGACCTTTTTAAATATGACAGACTGTATTACAGCAGAGGAATATAAACCTGAAAATGCCTACCACACAAAACAAGATGCTTCGTACAAAGCTCCATCTCTCTAGTCTTCCTTCTCTCTGACAGTTAGGCTGATTGTTGCTATAAAAATGTAAAAGATGAAATATAAACTGCCTCTGCCCGTGTAGCACATGTACACGGGAGGCGCTTCGAGTTTCAGCTGAACGCTCGTGTCAGAGTATTTTTCTGTCAGCTTTGTTTTGATTTTCTTAGAGTTTGTGTGTACTAAGATGTGAAAGAAAACAGGCAGCATTACATACAGGAGAAAAACACAAACCCAAGTGACATTCTAGGAAATAAATACACTTCTTGCTTTGTTTGGAAAAAAATTATTTACACAGTATTGTACATCGAAGAAATTCAGAAAATCCATTCGAGTCTCTCTCAGTCATAAAAATATATATATATAATAAAATCTACAGTAAAAGAATCAACTACAATAACAATTATTGAAATAAACAAAAGATTGTTGACTGTGGATGAATATACAGTACAATCACTGCTTTTAATGTCTTGTATACACAGTAGAAAGCACAAACGTGAGTGTGTGTGTGTGTGTGTGTGTGTGTGTGTGTGTGTGTGTGTGTGTGTGTGTGTGTGTGTGTTCTCGTTCTTGGGTGTGTTTGTTTGTTTGTTTGTATGTTGCGTGTCTGCACATGTGGCGAGGAGTCTGAAATGTATTCAAATTCCTGTTCAGCCGCACAACTGTGGGTTTGCATCAAGACGACCTCAACAATGAAACACCAGTATCCTCCACATGGGAGACACTCAGATGGTTCATAACAAATATATTCATCTTTTTTTAATCCATTCCTAGTGTTTCAAGTGGTGCCTGACAGCAAGAAGAAGCCCTTTCTACTCATGAGTGTGTGCATATGTGTGTGCCTTGATGTGAAGATGCTGACAGTCTAGTGGCAGCCACAAGCTCTGACCACCATGTTGCGGTATTTTTTGAGAATGACATTAGAGCTGTCATCAAAGTAAAGCACTGAGATGGCGTGGAGCTGTGTGGGGGCACAACAAGGCTTAGGAACCGTCTCCGGGTTAATAAAATGAACCTGGGAAGAGAAGTGGGAGATCAAATGTTAAAATCATCCTTACATCACAAATTAATATTGAAAAATGGGGGAAAACATATGTATGACAAAGGGTTATACACTGAATCCAAGTACTGTGGGAAAAAGGCAGTATTTTTTTATGTTGACCTCCTCTGCTGTCACATCACGGATGACAGTTTATTTTAAAACACAATGTGAAACTCCTATAATACAGTAGTTGCAACAGCGGCTACATTGTTCTGACAGTTGATGAAATGATTAGACTCCTAACATGACGGCTGGGTTTGTGTTTCCTGCCTTCATGGTTACTCACAAGGGTTTGCACAATGGCATGGTTTGTGGCGTTCATGTAGGAGTTCAGCGGGAAGGCACACTCTCCCTCACAATAGTACGCCGCGTATCCTTCAGGAGCGATGATCCAGTCCTGAGAGAGGAGAGGGAGACGGAGAGAAAATCAGGTTGGAGAATTTGAAAATTGTATTTCATTATCTCTTCTTAGAGACCTGATACTAAGGTGCATAATGTTTTATTTGCAATTAATATTTTCTACTTAAAAGAGCAGACCCAATTACAGTCATATTTGATTATGCTGTCCTTTAGAAGAACATTATAATTATACATACTTTAATCTAATAAACTATTATTAATTAAATTATAAATGTAGAAATGCAATTTTATTTGCATATTTTTGTTTTATGGTCTATAAAATGTTGAAATATTGTTCAAATATATTTGATTCACTCTCATAGAAGACAAATACAACCAGAAAACACAGAATAAAAAAAGGCAGGAACCACTGTCATTTTCTCTTTTAAACTACTGACATGTTTTACAGGTTTATTTTTGTCCTCAGAAAAATCAGTTAATTGACTCATGTTTTGGGGTTCTCAATGTACATTTTCCCGCTTGGCCCAATCATGATTTAAAATGAAAAGATCAGGGCAACCTACATGAAGTTTGAAAGCATTCTAAGCTTGTTGATTTAAAATATTAAAAAAATTAAAATGACCCAAAGAGTTCATCTTGTTTGATAGCTGGACAGCAAGAGGACAATGTTTGGGGATATTTTATTGAGTACACCCAGCTGAAACTGTAGAAATGTTCTTGACTTGTCCCTTGAGGAAAAAAAACTAAGGGCTAAAGTATTTTGTAAATCTATTGCATACAATGCATTATAATGTAATTTTGGTACAAAGACGCTTTCCGTACCTGCCAGCCCAAGTCTCTGAAACTGACGTAGAGCTCGTGCTTCTTACACGCCTGCTTCTGATCAGTACTGCTGTTTTCTGAGGAAGAAAAACAGACGGAGAGAAATTATACTCCAACACATGTGCCATTATCCCATACAGCTTGAAGAGTAACTATTTACTGCAGTCCGACCACAATTAGACAGAGATTATACAAAAAAGACCTAAATAGAGCCAGTTTCCTCATTCAAAACATTAACATTTAAACAATGAAAGAAGGAAATCACCTCCAGATACAGCAGCAATTTGGTAATTGTTTCAAATGAATGGGCCACCCTGCTTATAGGTCACTATGGCCTGCTTTGAGTTTCCACTGGGTAAAACAGATGTGTACAGAGAGCAGTTTTTCCCTTTGTTCAGAACTCAAACCCTTTATTTATACCCTCTCATTTCTCTTCACCGATTTCAACATCTATTTTCCCCTTTACCCCATCTGCACGCAAAAAAGAATGGTCTGTTTTCTATCTAATAGTATCTCTCTCACTTCCTCTGGTGACCTCTGGGGCTCTGTGGTACGTTAGTTCCTGAGGGTGGTTCACATTGGAAACGATCATGAGCGACTGGTTCTCATCATCCAGTTAAAGAGCGCTGCTATCCAAAGTTCCAAACAGGCCCATTTGGCCCATGTGTTGTGGCCCCGGTTGCCCCACAGCACACTGCAGATGTGTTCTGCCATAAAAGCCTGCAATGCCTTACCTCCATGCAGGGAACTTGGCCCCGACCGCTCTGTAATGCTTGTGTAAATAAACAAAGACAGCAGAGGGATATTTGAAGCTCAGGCATTACAGTCTAGTGTTTCAGCACTTCACATAAACACAGCCCTCTCACACCTCTAAAACAAAGGCCCCAAGTATGCATTGCGTGTTTTGTAGTGCAAGAAGCACATCAGTTCCAATGTCATACTATTGTTGGTCTGGATACTGTGTATATTTGTGTTTGAATGCCAGTGACTACCGATTATACGAGTAAGATAATTCCAATTATTTGTGTCCCATTCCATGGATTCCTCTCCAACAAAAAGACACAAACACATTTCTGTGTGTTTACCTGCAACATTGGCCACTCTCAGTGCCTCTTGGTTCTTTGTCCCTTTTGAGCGGTTGGGGTTTCGCTGTTTGGCCCCTCCTTGTGCTGAGCGGATGCTTCGCAGGTGCACCTCAGTGGCTTTGAAGAAGGCCACCATGAAGGGCTGTTTATTCTGAGGCCCACTGCGACCAATCAGCCCTGCTACACGAGGGTTGATGCTCTCTCCTGTAGGGGGGGACAGAGAGACCGGTACAACAGGTGTTAACAGACATTTCGTTTTTATTCAAACAGCTCGATAATCAAGGAGAAAGGGAAATCCAATATATGTGTGCCCACTTGGGGTGCCTGTGTTTTGAGTTAATGTTGCATGCGTGAGGTACTCGCCATCCTCACTTCCACCACTTTTGTCTGTTTTGCAAATGAGATTTCCCTCTGTGAATTCCTTTCCCTTTTACTCATTGCTTCTGCACCTCTGAAATGCCAAGAACAAACGTAGCTCTGAACATCAAAGCCTCTCTTCTTGTGTTTGAGAGAGTGTGTGTGTGTGTGTGTGTGTGTGTGTGTGTGTGTGTGTGTGTGTGTGTGTGTGTGTGTGTGTGTGTGTGTGTGTGTGTGTGTGTGTGGGTGTGTTGGTGCATGCTCGTGCATGTGCTCTCCGGCAATGTCTATACAAGAATGTGTGTCTGATCGCCATTATGTGGTAAATCAAGGCTTCTGGTCGCCGCTGGCGACGGGGTGTCCCGTGTGCCTGTCTGTGCATGCTCAGCCATAACCCTTCGTACACAAACACACACTCATGGATTCAGCCTCTCCAGCACTCCCCTCCCACAGCATGAAAGCAATTCCCTGTGTGTCTTCCTCAGCTAACATGTAATATCCTGCCATCCTCAGAGATAATATTCCCAAACACGCTCTTTTACTCCACACACTGTTCGTTGATTACGTTTTCCACTGACTAACATCCAGGCCCAGTGATGACAAACTCCTGCTGAGATGTTATCCTGAAGATAACGCAGGGACTTTCTGCATGCCTGCTAATGATGCTGAGGGTATGACGGATGAAGACGAGGATGAATGAACGATGATGAGGAGCACGGGTTGACTTATCTTTGCTGTGTACACACAAACAATAAATCAACTGATGTTTTGGCCTTCAAGAGAACAGCTATGATTGTTGTATGATAATGCAGACGTCTCAAAAAGTTAACACATTACAGTGATACATACATAGTTGAGGTGGATGTTTGACTTCATGAATGAATGTTACCAATACTTCCTTTATTTCAATAACGCTTTTACTAAAGTTGTTTTAATCACTACATATTTAATAAAGTATAAATGCTAACAGTTAAGTAAACAAACTTATCATTACGTTTTACACATCAGATTGCATCTTCTGCATTCAAAATCTTTCTTCAATTCACTAAGGAATATTAAGTAAAAGTAAACTACTAGTAACTACTTTAACTGAATTAGATACTGTCATTCTAATTAGAATAGCTACTGTGTGCCACTATGTCTATATCTGCAATCTCTAGCAAACCCAATACAATAAAAGTAGAACAAATAACATCTGAATTGTATGATTTATGTTGAAACTGTCAAATTGAAATGAAGACATTTATTTATCTATGGGTTTTTTTCTGGTTCCTAATCACCTCGTCTTTAAACCTTTGTTGTTTTCCTCTTATAATGCACATAGCTGCTGGTCCTTGGTAACATGGCCACCTGTGACTTCCTACAGTATGTGCGTGAAAACACTGATCTGGAGACCCTCACCATTGGTGCTCTCCAGGGCCAGCTGCAGACCCAGGTTTCTGCCGGGGTTCAGGACCCAGTGGTTACTGGTGGCTGTCAGGTCGAACACCAACCAGCCCTCCTCTGCTGCCCAGATCACACGGGAGTCCAGCAGGAACAGGTCCGACTCCCTGGAGAGGACGAGAAGATCAAACACTTAAAGTCAGAGATGAACATATATAGACAGGGGTTATATGAACAATTACGAAATATTTAAAACCATGTGAAGGGTAAAGCAAAGTGAGCAAAGCACAAAGTAATGGAGTGGAGAGAGGGAGTTAGAAGAGTGTGACATAGTGAAACAAAGAGATGGAGCAAGAAGAGAGAGTGAGGGAGGGAGGGAGGCTCCAGATGGTGAGGCCCAGGGGAACACTTCCTTTTCTTAATTGACAATAATGGCTTTATAAACGACCGGTCCTTTCATACACTACGCACAGTCCATCACTGGCTGGATCCTTGTGGGAGAGACAGAGAGCCAAATACAGAAAGTGCAAGAGATATAAATATAGAGAGGGCGAGAGAAAAAAACACAGCTGCGGAAGTGGGAGAAAGTGTGTGAAAAGTAGAGAGTGAAATAGTGCATATCCAAGTCAATCCTATTGTCTGTCACTGAACAGAACAGAACTTTTTTTGTTTTGCTCTTTCAACATGGGAGACTACAACCCCTTGTTCTTCATGTGGCCATTCATGTATCCCGACCTATATTCTGACTGGGCAGATAGTGTGTCACAGAGCTCTGCTTCATTCATGTACCCAGGCCCGTCTCTGGCAAAGGAATAAATGACTGTGTTGTTCCCTCTGGACAACAGAAACCTTTAGGAGGGGTCGAGGAGAGCAGGACCCCGGCCTGTCCCGAGTTACATACACCTTTTGGACGTCCACGATAAGCCTCGTGCAGGAGGTGGGGCTAAGACCAGTTTAATAAGAGAAGCTTCAAGATAAAGAATGCTACGAATGCTAATTTCAAAAATGTACATTACTATAAACAAAACAAATTATATCCATGCTCACCTATCAGTGTGTTCCTTCAACACCTGGAAGACGCTGATGCGGAAGGTCTCATTATCAATGCGTTCGTGGATGAAGTCTTTATAAATACGAAACTCTGCAGCAGTGACCGCCTCGCCCTCTGGGATTCGTGATAGGTCGAATCTGAACTCACGGTGATGCCGTCGCACTGGAAGGAATTCCTTATCGTGCTCTACTGCAGAAAAAAGAGAAGGTGAAAATAAAAAATGATACTATCAGACACATTGTATGCTTGCAGAGAATGTAACTTTTTTTTAAGCTTTTTGCATCCATCCTCTCTAACAGCAGGGATAGGAACAGGTACTATGTGTTCATATGAAACTAAAGAGTTTATAGTGAGGTATTGAGTTGCATTTTACAAAGTAACAAGACACGTTTGTTCTCTACCTCTTTCTCAATATATTCTTCTCACAGTCTCTCAACCTGAGCTGTTAGCAAGGAGCTGACATAGCTTGTCAGGCTCTGGGTCAGTCCCAGATTAAAAACATCTACAGTTATGCAGTACACATGTTGGCTTGTGATTGAAACATTCACGAGGACCAGCACTCGGAGCCATGCAGCTGGCGCACACTGAGCCATGATAGAGAGATGCAGGCGGACTCTGACAGCTTTATGAGCCCCTTTCTTCTCCCTCTCTTCCTCTCGCAGCCCCAGAGAGTAATCCAGTCTGCCCTTCATCTGGTTCTCATGAGTTGGGGGCTCAATATTTGGTGTACCCCATCCCCTCCTCTCCTCTCTCTCACCCCCACATCCCAGGTTTCCAAGTCCATCCACCCCCTGCACCCCCAAGACGTGGCCCCCCTGACCCTGCTCCTCTCATGTCCCAGCAGGACGTCCTAGGGGTCAGCGCCTTGTCTCTCATTATCTCCTGGCTCTCCCTCCACCTCCCTCTTTATTAACTGCCAGACAGACCGCCCACACATACGAACACATGCAAACAGATACACAGCGACACTTCAAATGATTTATTATTAAGCAAAAACCGTGAAGACAATACGTAATCTCCCCAGACCCCCGGTGGCATTTCAAGAACATTTCTTCTCAATAAGTGTGGTCATAAACCTTAGGTTTCGAAGGATTGAAGTGTTGTTGAAGCTAAAAAGGGATCTCCGTTGTGGTATAGATTATCCTTTTTAATTTGGCTATTAAAAAAGGAAGAGTAAAAGTCAGGAGATGACCAATATGATTAGGATTTATCCTGTGGAGACTACAAACGTTTGCACAAAATACCATGGTGGATGAAGACAATAGTTAACAGTCCTAATACAGCTATGTTATTGAGTATAAACTATAAACCCCACAGCTGATGACAGATCAGATCTCTCAAGCACTGCCTCTGCCATTTCTAGCAACTATCCATGAACCACCATTGCCAACAAGACAGTTCTGTATCAGAGTCGACTGCCTCTAAACTCTAAAATAATTCAGACATTTGCCAAGCTATCATCATCCCCCTAGTGCTCACACACACGTTATAATTCTAAATAATTCCTGACTACAGCATACTTGTCCTACTCCAGCTGGTAGTAATAGAAGTGTGCAATGATGTAAATGTTATGCATGTTTCACTGCACAGCTTGTGCGGTGTTATTTCTTTCACTGCACACCTGCCTCTTTGTCTTTCTCAGCCATGTTTCCGCTCTTATGTAGTTCTCCCAGCGGACTCTCTCTCTCTCCCCTACACCCCCTTTCATTTATGTCTGTATTAAACCCAGTTGCTGAAGGACATTATACAAAGGCAGCACTGTGAGATGATTGGCCAGAGAAGAAGTAAAGAAAGGATCTAATTACTCTTCAATGAGGGACAGCTCTTCTCTCTGCAGCCAATAGATGGCCTTGCTTTAGGCTCCCATTGTCCTGGATCTGCTCGGTGCCCACATTGGACTGGTTGAAACAACTATTTACCTCTTTCTGAAAACCAGTTTTAGGCTGTATTAACTCAAGATCACCATCTCACTCTCTATCCACCAAATCTGCACTGCACCATGTAGACAATTCATACATTTTAATGGTGAAAAAGTCTAAAGATACACCTGAGTCTGACCTCAGCACAGCGGTTAGGAGCCTGCAGTCCCTTTAAACAGAGATACATTTCTCTATTCAAAAGTGGAATAAGGTGAGGACAATGATTTTCATTTCATCATCCATCTAATTACTCAATGTCTTTAGTGTTCTCTCTCTTTTCTCCTTCATACCTCTTTGCTCCGGGGCTTGCTTTTTCATCTACTGCACCAGGGAGCTCTCCCTCCTCCTGCAGCCCAGCGCAGGTGCACTCCCTCTGGGGACAGAGCCAGAGCAGCCGCCCGCCCCTTCACTATTAAATCTCTTTATCTTTTCTTGTGAGAACAGCTGGATGCGGCTGTAAAACTCCCACACTAACAACACTTTCTATATCCACTCCTTATTGAATGGATTTCATCTGTATGGAGAAAATGAGAGCAGCCTACAGAGCTTATAGGTTTAGCATCTGCCACAATTCTGCCGTTGTCTGTGTGCTTCTCTTTCTCCTACAGGCCATTACAGCAGTATGGCAGTCATTAGATGAGGGGAAGAGGCACAGTCAGAGCCACGCGGGTGCATTTATGACTTCCTCTGGGAGGAAGTGAGTAGCCATCGCCCCACCTGTGTCACAAACATACACATACACACACACATACACCACAAACATGGTGAACACACCCTCTCATGGGTTATGAGTCCTTCATTCTGAGTAGCCGTCATTTAGATCGGTTGCTGCTCCTCAAACACACACCCAAACACTCCAATACACAATATACAATCCTGTGAAGCGAACGATCTTGTGCGTCACAGCACGGTAACACAATCATTATGGGTTTCTGTAATCCGTAATTAGAGATGCAACACACAGGCAAAAGAGAGAAACACACACACATACACTTACATGGACTTGAGCTGCTTTTATAGTTTGATTTGCTTTTACTACAAACTGCTGATGAAGCAGAGTCATACCACATCATTTGACTTGTGCCGGCCACACACGTGCACAGCAGCACACATCAGAGATATCGGGATGATGACGACTCCAACCTCTTCAGTGCACCTGGCAACCAGAGGTTTACTACGCTGTGAACAAAGTGTTAGCAATGCATCCTCTGTTATCTATGTCGTCCCCCCCCCCACAGCGTACGGCTTCCTCATCATGTTCTCTACTACTGAGAGTCTCTAAATTTCATTACATTTAAATGTATCTTCATTGGACATTTCTTGTGTTTTGTATAAAACATGTGGTGGCCTTTAAAGGATAACTATTTTGGTGTGTATATTGTTTATGTAAATTAAAAAACAACTCTTTGTGCAGCCCAAGCCTGATATTGTTTATTGCTCTTGCCAAAAACTAGTATTAAAAACATATTAAGGAGCCACACTGTAGTTATTTTACTAGCAGAGACATTGGAATTTACACACACCATCCTGCTTCTGTAAATTATTGATAGTGTATCAAATCCGCAGCAGAAAAAAGTCTTCCAACAAATACACTTTAACCATTGGTCTAACATTTGAAAGTTCATATTTGTGTAAAGAAATAATGAAAAATCTTTGCCAGTTTAGTTTAATGGGATTTGTTAACAGTAAAAAAAGAGATATACTCGAATATAACCAGACTAATCCTTTAACTGTTTTCCCCCCTCCCTCCCGCTCTCGCTCTCTCTCTCTCCCTCTCTCCCTCTCTCTCTCTCTCTCTCCCTCCCTCCCTCCTCTCCTGCCAGGCCAGTAGACCTAAGAGACTTCTCCAACACCTCGAGCTCCGGAGCAGCAGCGGCCAAATCTGACGGCTCACATTAGCCCAAGTGTCTGTTCGCCACCCTCACACCACTCAGTCCCTCTTGCACGCTTCCGCTGCTCAGCAGGGGGGGGGATTTCACCTCTGACACCACTCTCACTTCTCTCAACCGACAGCTTAAGCACCCCCCCCCCTTCCCATACTACCTTTATTTCTCTAGAGATAACTGTACAACCATTACCTGCACCTCACTCTGCATCCCTGTAGAGCCCATTAACTCTAGCTTTACACCTGATTCCCAAACCAGCAACTAGAAAAAGCAATAAGTCACATCAGGGTCAGATTATTTCCTCTGGAAGTAAACCATGTGCATTTGATTGATGCCCCATAATGATCTCTCCCTCTTTCTTTCTTTTCCTCTTTCTGTTGCTCTTAATTCAACAATGTTTTAAGCACAGTACTGGGAACAAGTAAGTCATAGTTTCCGTAAGCTAAATCAGAGAGAGGGGAAATAAAAAACAGAGTGCAAGGAAAGGACGGATTGCTCTAAATGTTTATCCTATGAAGCGCAGAGAGGGTTTGATCTCTTGGGTACCGGGTGACTACCCACAGAAGGGCGATTACCACGTTAGGAAACATCCTGCCCACTGGCAACTCCTGATGACATCATGCCTGTGTGATGTATTTGTACTGCTGTAAGGCCTGACAGCACTGGCTCCCTGGGAAAGGGTCAGCAGAGTTTCATGCTATAACTTACTCACACTTAACGATCATTAACTCACCGCAGTGTGTTTGTGTGTGTGTGTGTGTGTGTGTGTGTGTGTGTGTGTGTGTGTGTGTGTGTGTGTGTGTGTGTGTGTGTGTGTGTGCACGGTCACATACACATGAGCCTGTCTACAAGTAGAGGCAATAACCACAGGAAGAAGAGTCTTTACATTTAAGACTTGTGGTCAGAACCAAACTTTTCTGAGTTCTTTAGCATAAGGGCCATCGAGAGGGCTCAGATTTTAATCACAGAGGCTCGGTTGACCTCTCTTTCTGCCTCGCACTGCAGCCATCAAACATGCTTGCCCTCTGCACCTCTACACTGTAGTGCTGGGTTCCACCTCATGCTTCGCTGGGCATCATGGACCAGAGATTTATACTGAAAATGTAACAGCCTGGAACTCACAGGAATGTGTCTGACCGTAAAGCCTCTCCCTGGCGCTCTCCCTCGGCACCACAGCTGTGCTAAAGAGTTGGTTCATCCAAAAAATAAAATAACAAATAATCTGACCTCTACTGGTTTCTAGCCATGCAGGTAGTTTTCATTTAAAAGGAATAGTTGAGGATTTCATGCTGATTTGCTTTCTGGTAGAAAGTTTGATGTTAAGATTGATACTGTTCTCGTATCTGGCTGCAGCAGCCGGCTAGCTTAGCTTAGCATAAAGACA